CTATTCTTTCATGACAAACACTCTAAAATGTGAAGCATCTGAAGCATTTTCTGGGATTTGCCAATTTCTATAGAAAATTCATTCCTCATTTTGCAGAATGCACCAGGCCACAGTCTCAACTCATAAAAGAAAAGTTGCAAGTGTGCACGGTCTACTCAAGAACAGATAGCATTCCAGGAACTGAAAAACTTTCCACTTCACAGCAACTGCATGAAGACTCCATGCACACATTCATGGTACAGACGAATGCTTTGATGTGGCCGTTGGAGCGGTTCTTCTCCAGAAAATGAAAGACAGGGGCATATCCTCCGCCATGTGCATTTTATTTCAAGTTGCTTTTACTAGCAGAACAGAACTATAACATCTTCAGTAAGGACTTTCTTGTGATAAAAATCAGCATTCCAACATTGGAGACACTTCATGGAAAGAACTGCCCTTCTAGTACAGGAATGCAAGGAGTGTGAAATTATAATGTTATGTGGGATTGATCTTGAGAAACAGGAAGAAGAGCCACAGTGTATGCGATGATCAGATAAGAGGAAATTGGAATGACAGTGTAACAAACTTCTCAGAAGGGACCCTCTCTAGTTTCTTGGACTGTAAAAGCGAGGAGAGAGACAGGCTCTTTCAATTTTGCAAGATAATGTTAATATAATCTTGAAATAAAGATAGAGAGAGTATCTCTGGATGTTCTTCTTGTCTGGACTATCTCACAAGGCTAATAGAAGTAGAAGGAATTCTGGACTCAAGACAAGAAGGGCTATCCAGAATCAAAGAGATCATGGGAAAGAGCAACAGATATCCATGCTCCACACTTAGTACACCTGTTTCATTTACAGCTTTGAGGAAAACCCCTATGATCTGTCAGCACCACAGAATGGCTATGGATCAGTGGTGGGATTCAAATTTTTTTACTACCGGTTCTATGGGTGTGGCTTTGTGAGCATGGTGTGGCTTAGTGGGCAAGGAAAGGAAAGGATACTGCAAAATCCCCATTCCCTCCCCACCCCACTAACCTGCTTTCCGGTTCCATTCTCCTGTTCAGGGCAACCCAATAGCAATAGCAGTTAGACTTATATACCGCTTCATAGGGCTTTCAGCCCTCTCTAAGNTTTTGAACCAAAATATATATTTCAGGGGGGGGGAGGAGGAGGAGGAGGACGACGACGAGTTGTTGTTGTTAGTTGCGAAGACATGTCCGACCCATGGCGGCCCCATGGACAATGTTTCTCCAGGCATTCCTGTTCTCTACCATTCCCCAGAGTCCATTTAAGCTCACGCCCACTGCTCCAGTGACTCCATCCAGCCACTTCATTCTCTGTCGTTCCTTTCTTCTTTTGCCCTCGATTGTTCCCAGCATCAGGCTCTTCTCCAGTGAGTCCTTCCTTCTCATTAGGTGCCAAAGTATTTGAGTTTCATCTTCAGGATTTGACTTCCTTCTAAAGAGCAGTCAGGGTTGATATCCTCTAGGACTGACCAGTTGGATCGCCTTGCAGTCCAAGGGACTTGCAGGAGTCTTCTCCAGCACCATAGTTCAAAGGTTCTTTGGTGCTCAGCCTTTTTTATGGTCCAACTTTCACAGCTATACATTGCAACTGAGTACACAGGCTGAATTTCATGCTGCATTGACTGTTGCCTAGATTAACAAGAGTTGCATTGAATACTGTATCTCTTGAGCACTCATTGAAAAATGTGCTACAGGCTCTGCTCCTTTTGCTAGGCAACCAAGGTGTTGAACTGAAAGTCTACTGGAAAATATTCAAAAGCAAAATAGTTGGTCAAAAGAAGAAAACTGCTCAATTAAGAAGTGTTTCTACCAATCAGAACAATTGAAACACAGATTTTCAAAAGCAAATCTGTTTTGGAAAGAAAGACATCTGGATTTAGACACTAATGAGCAGAGACTTATGGTCCAAAGGTATGTAATTTTGAAACACAAGTAGTTTCCCAAAGCTGAATTGGAAGAATATTAATGAAGCTGTCAAATTCCAACTGAAACATTGATCTAAATGAACCAGCTGATTTATACCATAGCCCAGTGATGGCTAACATTTTTTTGATCGCATACCAAAAGGGGGGGGGGAAGACAGGGGTGTCGTGCGCAGAGGTGCCCACATCCATAATGCTCTGTGAACAAACCCCAGCGCACATGTGTGTGTGACCCGCCCCCATGCATGCACGGACAACCATCGTTCCCCCTGCTTTTGGCATGCTTTTTTTGCCCTCTTTCTAGGAGCCTTGGGAGGGTGCAAACAGCCTTCCCCACTCCCCCCAGAGGCCCTCCCGAGGCTTCAGGAGCTTCCCTGAAGGCTCCAGAGAGCAAAAAATGGCCCTACAAGCAAACTGGAAGTCCGTTCCTGAAAGAAGGCCAAAGTAGCTCACCAGGGTGCGCATGCAGCTGGAGCTGACAGGGCAACACCTCATGTGCCCTAACAAATGGCTCCGCTGCTACAGGTTTGCCATCACGGCCATAGCCTATGTAACTATTGAGGAACTTGGACTTAAAATGTGAAGGAAAGCCATTAAAGAATGGAAAACCTAAATAGAAAATTGCTTGAAGATAAAGAAATTGTGCATGGATTTAAGCAATTAGAAGAATTTGAGGCAAGGAAATTTAAAGAATAAGAATATCAAAACTAGCCTATACATGAAGTGTAGCACAAATAAAGCAGTAGTGGGTTACAGCAATAGCAATAATAGCAATAACAGTAGACTTATATACCGCTTCATAGGCCTTTCAGCCCTCTCTAAGCGGTTTACAGAGTCAGCATATTGCCCCCAACAACAATCCGGGTCCTCATTTTACCCACCTCAGAAGGATGGAAGGCTGAGTCAACCCTGAGCCAGTGAGATTTGAACAACCGAACTGCAGAACTGCAGTCAGCTGAAGTAGCCTGCAGTGCTGCATTTAACCACTGCGCCACCTCGGCTCTTAGAACACAAGAAGATCAGCTGGGAGGCACCGGGGCAGTCTATCTATGAACTACTCAAAAACTACTCAATTTCTGCTACTGGTTCTCTAGAACCTGTCAGAACTGGCTGATTACCACCTCTGCTATGGATCCTAAAACTAAAATAAAATTTTAATTTCCCAGTTAGAGATACTCACTGCCCAAATGGACGTTTAGCTTAATGTGGAGCTCTTGGCAACTAAAAGCAATATACCCACACAGTCTTATTTAATCAGATTTATTGAAAGAAAAAAAGGGATGGATATCAGAAATCTTGACAACTGGATGCTTTCACTTTAATAAATATTTATGTCTAAATTTGCTTGGTTGGGATCTTTTAATTCTCTTGCTAACAGCCATTTGAAAGACAGAGGAAGTGGTTAACTGCTGGATTATCCTGGTATTGAAGGAATATAGCAAAGTTCTGCAAATCTTTATCATTTTTTCCAAGTTTTCAGAAGACTATAATATCAGGTTCTGGAGAGTATGAGCAAAAAAGTGCTGTTGTCATGATGTACCATATATGAATGCTTGGTTAGCTTCTGAAGGAAGGGCAGGAATGCAGAATTGGAGACAATTTGGTTTTATATAGCACAGATCTCATTTATTCCTATTGCCATGTTATTGTTATTACATTGTGCAATTTATCCCTTGTCTTTTAAAATGTAGGATCCCAATGATGATGACTAGGAACTCAGTGTTTTATTGAGTAATGTTATTCCAGCTGATAACAATATGTGCCTTGTAATGAACATTTGGTTTTGGTTTACTTTTTTTGCAAGGACTCGAGTGACAAATAAAATGAACAGGTTCAGTTCTTGACCTATTTCATGGTACTGTTTAACAGCCCCATCTTCACATGTATAGTGCCTATTACAGAAGCCTTTAAATGGCCTGTGTGATTAGCAAACTGATATTCTTAACACATTTTAGCTGTATTTGTTACTCTATGCCATTGAAAGAAACAATTATCTTTCCAATTACCCCAGCACATCTCTGCAGAATTTTGTTCAGCTAAGCAACAAAAAGACAAATGTGCAATTAAAACTCATGGATCATAAATATATATTAGACTTGTTTGTGGTGCTTGCACTATTTCCTTATTTCTATGAAGACACTACAATTATTATTCAGTTGTATTAAGTTGTAAGTGGAGTTCAGAAAGCATAATGATAGCTGTTCAACAATCGTTATTCATTTGAAAGGAATGGTAGCTGCACGTAAAAGAACATACATAATTTTTATATGCCCAATAAAGTGATCTTGTGTCCAACTTTACAGAAAATCATTTTGTGTTTTGAATTGCTGTTCAATGGAAACTCAGTTCAAAAATAAGACATCATAAAGAGAGCAGGGTTCAGCAATAGTTAGTGACTGAATAGTAAATCTGCTACATCTACCATATTATATGACTCTCTAATGTATAAATTTCTTTCCCCTTGTTCTAAGGCGAGGGTGTCACACTTATTTATTTATTTATTTTATTTGTCAACAAGTACAAGGAAACAAGTATGAAAACACATGAAAAAATGGCACAAATAAATGGATATAAATAAGCAAAACATAGCCATAAACACATAAAAGGAGTACATATAAATGGGACAATAGGAAAGGGACGGTGGGCACGCTGGTGCGCTTATGCACGCCCCCTTAGGGACCTCTTAAGAAATGCGTAAAGTCAACAGTAGACAGCTTAAGATAAAAGGTATGGGGGTTAGAGGAACTAACAACAGGATCAGGTAGGGTGTTCCACACATTCACTATTCTATTGCTGAAATCGTTTTTCCTGCAATCAAGATTAGAACGGATTAGATTTAGTTTGTATCTATTGATAGCCCTTGTATTATTGCAGTTGAAGTAAAAGTAGTCATTAACTTGTGGCCCTCGGGCCGGATGTATCATACACTGGCCACGCCCGGTTTAGCAAAGGGGGGAAAGTCATGATACATCACGTGATGCTGCCGTGACAACGTGAGATTAACACCCCTGTTCTAAGGGAATTGTGTGATGTTTTGTGATATATATGCACCTCTTTGTTTTTCAATCCAGATTCACAGTTGGAGGAACTTCCCACTCTTCTCCATTGTGCAGCTAAATTTGGATTAAAGAAACTTGCTGGACTTCTTCTCCAAGATCCCAAAGTCATCCAAGCATGTAGAATTACTAACAAGTACGGAGAAAACCCAGCTCACGTTGCAAAAAAGTATGGCCAGAAGGGAATTTGGAAGGTCCTTAAAGAGTTGCCAGTAAGTATCTGCTGTTACACATAAGCATTACATTCATAATATGTTATGAAATAAGTGGGAACACTAGTTACATTTTGAGAATTTTCATTGTGATAAAACATGGAGAGAAATCTGTGAAAAAACAGATTTGTGAATATTATAATTGGATTTATGAAAAAAAATGCATACACAATCTATAAGCATTAATTCTAATGATACATACCTTTCACTTTTCATAATAATTTGGTATTTTTGCCTTTTGAATAAAAAGACTAAAATGCATAAGTATAGAGAATGAAACACATTATATGATCAACTCTTATTTAGATTTTTTTTCATCAATTGCATGTTTGATTTTGCCAATTTAGTATTATAGAAAGGAATGGTATATTCTAACATATTATATAGTATAATCAGAGAGGGTTGGTCTTGTTTTACGTCACCAAATTTATTCTAAGCATCATTGAAGGAAGGCAACCAATAGCTTGTCTTCCTGAATTTCTAAAGGTTGGCATGGCTTCAGGCAATGTAAAATAGACATAGTTTCTTTCTTGAAAAGGTATTGATGGGAATTAATACAAATAAATTAACTGCCATTGCAGCATTAACCTCAAAAGAGGGAGGGAGAGAGGAGGGGAGAGGAGAAAGGAAGAGGGAAGAGGGGGACGGGGAGGGAACAAGGAGAGGGAAGGAGGAGGTGGGATGAGATGAGAAATAGAAGCTGACATATTACAGTGCATGTTAAACTATATCTTGAAGATGGTTCAACATAGAGAATAAGGTAAGCTTCTTAGATGTATTTGTTGTTGTGTAGCAATGAAAGAGAACTCTGATTCTAAAAGTTGAGATTGAAAATAACTTTGTAAAGGGCCGGTTTTCAGCGGAACCTCCATCATTCATCGATACATCCTTCTGATCAAAGAGATATCCAACAAATGCTAGAAGAAGTTGTGTAAGGAACAGTAATGTATTATTTGTGTAGGGGGGGTCAAAGCATCTATTGGAGAAATTATGTAAGTAGCATAGAGAAAGACAACATATGTGAACTAGCAGTAACATACTGAGTAAATCAGTCCATGGCAATGGCCATAAAATCCTTAGTCTGTAACAAAAGAAAACCATTTATTTTTGGCCAAAACTTCAACTAAAAATTCTCCAGCTAATTTTCATCTTAGAAACTGGCTTAATTTAAAACATTGTGTTCCTTCCCTTAGTTCATATGCTTAAAACAATTATAGTTCTTCTCTTCATAGTAGTCACTCTGGGTTGCCAAAAAAATAGGGAGGTGGACATTTGGCTGGAATTTTTTTTAACTTTGGACCTTTTTGCCAGAATAATTAAACTAAAAGGTAGAATTATGTGCAACTGCCAAATGGTTTTCAGTAAAGCTGGAAGTTTTTAAAAATCCTGTTGTAGTATTTTTGCGGTGTTTACTTTAAATACTGTACCATTATATTAGACATTTTCACCCAATCCTTTTCAAGAAGAGCTCTTGTCTGAGGCATGAACCAGCGTTCTCAAAAGGCAAGGTGCTGTGGTCCACCGGCGGCCTGTGGAGCTGGCAGCAGAGTTGGACAGTGACGAGGTTGGGGAGGAACATGGACCAGTTCTGGAGTATGGGGAAGACTCGGATGAAGGCTCTGCATTGGAGGCAGAGAGGGGGGCAGGGCCATCTGGTAGTTATGTGCTGCTTCCGGAGCCTCCAGAGTCTGACACCAGCAAGGCAGAGGAACAGGGGGAGCCTGTTCCCAGTGCGCGCATGTGCAGTGATGCCAGAAGGCAAGAACAGCTAAGACAACAGGGGCAAAGCTCCCGTTGGTGCCCACACCCATGGCAGTGGTGGCGCCGCCTCCCCCTCTGCTCGGAGCACTTGTGCTGGGCACTGTGTTACCCCTGCTGCCACCGCCACCTCCTCCACCATGCTTTTGAGAAGCCATGGGGCCTTTTTTTCCTGCTCCCGCCCCCTCCGCCTCCTTCCTACTGGCTCCCGCGCTTCATGGCTTCTCAAAAGCACGGCGGAGGAGGAGGAGGCAGGGGTAATGCGGTGCCCAGTTCAGGTCTCTGAGCGGAGGGGGAGGCACCGCTGCCATGGGCAGGGGCGCTGGCAGGAGCTTGGCGGCTTCACCTCAGCCACAGCATCAGGCAGCAAATGTGGTGGTGCTGTTGGAGGAGAAGGAGGAGGAGGCAGCAGCAGTTATTCTAGTGGCGACGAGGGCTTTGGGGGTTCACTTCAGCTGCAGCGCCAGGCACAAGTGGCTAGGACTGGCCGCCCACAAAGGACCTGCCTGGGTTTGTTTTGCTGAACACGGAGCGACTGACAATAGTTTGAGCAGGTGCAGCCGGCGCAAACTACCGTCAGTCACCCCGCGCTCATCAAAACAAGTCCAGGGAGATCCTTTGCGGGCGGCCAGTTCTAGCTACCTGCAAAGGACCTCCCCAGCTTCCAGAGCCTCTGACAGTAGAAATCACTGCGCAGCAGTTGCAAACTGCTGTCCGGTGTTTTCTTGCCATGTGCGTGGCCGCACGAAAAATCGGGACTTTTTTGAAACGCCCCAGGACACGGGACAAATTATTGATAATCGGACTGTCACGCCAAAAGCGGGACATCTGGTCACTTTACATTACCATGAAAGATTGTGGCAGACTTCTGTCGGACTCTTCACAGACTGGTTGTGAATCATTACGGGCTGTGAATGAATATAATTCACAGCTGTTTAAATTAAAAAAGGGTTTTGGGGTCTAAGTGTGTGACTTTTACTATCTCAGGAAGCCTAGGTCAGAACAGTAGGTAGGAAAAGGTCCACAGAAGAAAATAATAGTCCCCCCCTTCCTTTCTTTGTTACTTTTCTACCACTGCTAATTTTGCAATACAGGCCATGTGAAAATTCTGATAACTAATTTTTTTTTTATCCAAAAGTCATCTGAGAAAGTTAATACCTTGTGACATAGTGCACTAAGAGATTGCTTTTGTGGGAGATGGCACCTGCTGGGATCAGCTACCATCTCATTACCTCCCAGCAATTCCATTTGGCTTGTATTCATTATTCCAAGAGAAAAATAGTCTCTGTTTCAAGCTCTCTACAATGGGAAATTAATTGGAAGAGGTCATTGCACAACATAATATATATGTGGCTATTTCTTAGTTCCAAAGCCAAGAGACACAGCATAACAGATCTTTAAACAGATCTTTCAGCAGAAGGGTTGGGGCAAGAATAATTGTGATATACGTTAATGGAAAAGAGCTATTGAGCATAGTGGTTTTGAAGTAGAAATCTACTTTAGATACACCAAACAATAGAAAACTCTGATACTGATATACAATATTCTAATAAAATGTTTTGATTTGTCATGTGGCACCTGAGTCTTCTACTGCCCTACAAATGGATCACTTACCTGTGTTCTTCATAACCAGAACAAAGTATATCTGGTAGTTATGTGCTGGTGCACCAGTTGCGGCCCTATCTGGATCGGGAGGCACTTCATACGGTCACTCATGCCCTCGTCACCTCAAGACTTGACTACTGTAATGCGCTCTACATGGGGCTGCCCTGAAAAGTGTTCGGAGACTACAATTAGTCCAGAATGCAGCTGTGCGAGCGATACTGGGTGTACCAAGGTAGACCCACATTACACCTATCCTCCGCGAACTGCACTGGCTCCCTATTG